AGAGTTCTTATAAACAAGGGGTGTTTGGGGGGAAACAAAGCATGGTCCACGTGATGTTTAGTAAAAATACATTGAATAATTGAATACAAGTCTGTTTTGTGCTGAGGACACTGAAGATATAAATCTGTGGAATGTCCTGTTTAGAGGACATGTCTGTCATCTATCCTTATTTTGGCATCTAGCTCACCCCTGTCTTAAGCAATGTAGACAGAAGCTTCACCAGGAGTTTATGCCTCAGAAATTTGTTTTAGCTTCATTTTTATAAGTTTATAACTTCCTGTGATATGAAATTTTCTCATTTCTTCATGGAAAACAGTTTTGGAGGGCATTTTTCATCTTCCTTATAAACACCAAAAAACTTTAAGAACAGAAGCACTTCAGATCTTTCAAACCAGATGCTGCTTTTGCTGCTTTGAATTCCAAAATATGCTTATTACTTTAGTGCAGCTGGATAGCACATGATGAGAAAAAGGAAGGACTTTGGAAAAGCCTTTTTTATTCATCCAATAAGCGTGAACAACTCAAATATTAGCCTGCGGAGTAACCAAAGGGTAGTATCATAGAGACAAGCAAAGCTGATGGCTTCGTCATCAGGCAGCTACATGTTTGGATGTAAAAACAGAAGGTAAACTTGGTCATCTCGTAGATCAGTACCTCTCAAATTTTAATGTGCACACAGATTACCTGCAGGTCTTATTAAAATGCAGCTTTGGGGGCAACTGGGTGGTTCAGTCAGTTGAGCAGTAGACTTTGGCTCAGGTCATGATCTCACAGTTGATGAGTTCGAGCCCCACATTGGGCTCACTGCTATCAGTGCAGAGCCTGCTTCAGATCCTCCATCCCCCTCTCTCTGTCCCTGTCCCCTGCTTGCACTCTCTTTCAAAAATAAATGAAACATAAAACAATAAAATGCAGGTTTGGATTCAGTAGATCTGGAGTGGGCCTGAGTTTCTGTCGTGCTAACCAGCTCCACAGTAATGCTGCCAGTTGGTCCGCAGGACACACCTTAAGAAGCAAAGGGCTAGACACGTTCCCATTCTACCTGAGGCCTGGGGAAGGCAGTTTTCTCAAGTGAGTGATGAAGACACCCTCAGATCACTCAGAAATGAGGGTAAGGAAAAAAGACTGTTTAATGACTTAAAAGAACAAGGCATAAAACAAAGTGCAAGGTTAAAGAGTACATGAAGTAATATTCCATTAATTACAAAAGTGTACGTAGAACAGCCATTCTATAAGAAGCAGGTTGTAAGAAAGCCAAAGTTATTTCCCTGGTCTATCATTTCCCCTGTAGCGATCACATGGGGAGGCACATGGACTCTTTTCAGTTAGGATAGAATTCTGCTGAGATGTACTGAAACAGTAATGACTGTTTACTCAGAGCAAAAAACAATTTAAGCCAGGTGATGAGAAGAATGTAGAATTCATTAACCTTCTTGCCCATGGCTCCTCGAGGAGAACAAAATCCGATTGCTTTCAAAAAACTGATTTCAAAAATAGCAGGTGGTGGTAATTTTAGGTGTGTATTTGCAAAGCTGCCCCAAACATACCATCATGCCATGAAATTATTACTATTTTCTCCTGCAAAGAATTAACCTAAACTCTGAAGAACACTGGTGTGTGCAGGGCTATTGGGAAGCTCAGAGAGCCAACATGGCTTGTAGGTGAGACTCAGTTCTGGGCCTTGGGGACTGTCTCCTCATATTAGCCCAGACCTCCTATCCCCTAAAACATTGATCAGACCCTATTTGTCAAAGATGACTGCATATACTGAGAGGCTTGGAAGACATGGCCAAAAATACAACAAAATCACTCTGGCTATAGCAGCATGAAGCTCAAGGACACAGTGAAGTTTACCAGGGTAGAGCATGTTTAAAGCACACATGTACAAAACAACTCTAGATTTTGACATAATATTCCCTAGGGAGAAAAAAAATAGATTATGACCAAAATTAATCATGCAACTTTTACTCTAATTTCCTTTCATGGAAGTTAAAAGCCAAGAACAGGGGATGCTTGTGTGGCTTAGTTGGTTAAGCGTCTGACTTAGGCTCAGGTCATGATCTTTTGGTTCACGAGTCTGAACCCCTGCATCAGGCTCTCTGCTGTCAGAACAGAACCCCTCTTTGGATCCTCTGTCCTCCTCTCTCTGCCCCTCCCTGACCTGTGCTCTCTCTTTCTCTCTCTCTCTCAAAACTAAACATTTAAGAAAACAAAGCCAAGAACTGTTGCTGAACTTGCATCCCTGAATTCACAGATGAGCCAAACCCTCCTTGATCTATTCCTCCCCTGACCCACAGAGATCTGCAGTGAACACCACCCAGCCTCTGATGCCTGAAGTGCCTCTGTGTAGAGCATGGCATTTCATCTCCTCTCTGGCCTTTGTTGACTACTGACGCACCATGAACTGTCACTTTAGCTCATGTGTTTGCGTCTCATTGTTGTCGTTGTGCATGTGAAATGCCATCATTCCATTCAGAGATATTCCACTGAAGATGAATAAATGGCATTCATACAAGCAACAGTCTTTCCAGATATCATGAAGTCACCCTCTTCAGGTTTTACGTCATGTTAGTGCTTCAGAAACTTTCAAGATAATTTCTTCACTCATATTCCTTGGTCAGTTTCTCTTGACCATCTGCTTGTGGATGGGCAAGCGTGATGACCCACCGCATTGATACTGAAGACCCAAAGAATATTGTCCAGCATTTCATCATTTTTCATGAATGGTGAGGTGGAATTATCTAGAATTATTATATGATTAATGCTGGAACGCTCTTCACGTGAACAGACCTCTTTTCTTCCTTAGACCTCCAGAAGCCCCAGGCAGAACTTAGCACACTCTGGGAGAATCGTCAAGTGTGTGTCTTTGCCTTGTGTTTACTTTTAGTTTTCTCTCTATTCTCTAAATGTTTCCTGTTTAAAAGGACCTAACTTCCTTTGTAAGAAACTTGATTTCCCTCATCTTCTTTTTCCTTTTCTGTTCCTAACGGTTCTTGAAATGAAATTATTTTGTTGAGTTTCCTTATTTGTACTTGGGCAACCCATTCAATGACTGTTAAGAGAATAGCTGGTGACCTGTGGCTCTCACCTTTGAGAGAGAATGCACGTGTGACATTCTGGTCTCTAAACATAGGGGCTGAAGACATAAATGGTTAGGTAATCATCTCCAGCATGGTGTCAAGCATTCCTTTAAAGCAAAACCTCAACTTCTAATTTTCCAACACTTTGGTCTCCTGGATGGGTTTGCCTTTGTGAATGCAATACTGCATCTTTATAATGCTTATTTATTTTGAGGAGAGGAGGTGATGGGCAGAGGGAGGAAAGGGAGAGAATCCCAAGGAGGCTCTGTGCTGCTAGATCTCACGAACCATGAGATCATGACCTGAGCTGATATCAAAGTAGGATGCTCATTTGACTGAGCCACCTGGGTACCCCAAAACTACATCTTTAAAGGCTTACCTCAAGTCCAATATTGTTTTTCTGAAGACTCTCTTCTTGGTGAGGTCATTGCTCACAAGGATCTATACTCTAAATAATGACATTTTTGTTGGCCTCAAGTTTTGGGTTTAACTTTCTTTAATTTCTCCTAAAATTGTGAGCATGGTTGTGATTACTTCTTTACTACCATTTAAATATTATTTCCTTATTGATGGTTCTGTGACAGTTGTGTATGGCAATATCCCCTTTATCTGACACTTCTCTTATGGACCAGAAGTCTTCCAAGAGGTTCTTTGTATATCATGATCAGACAGACATATTGTTATTGCAGTCTCAGGACCAAAATTTCCTTCCTGTCACATGCGTATGACTTATTTTTGGATTTCCCAGCTTAGTGTTTCCTGGTTTAGGGTTGCTTTAGTTATTGCATTCAGTAATTTTTCTTTGAGTATAACTTTTCATGGCAGCAATCAGCGCAGATTACTTACCATGACATGGCTTTGACTGTGTGATTGTCTTTTGTGTTTCCAAAATAGTCCAAGGAGTCCATTAATTCTACCAAGTAACCATCTGATTGAAAAAAGTATCTATCAAACTGGCTACTTGATTAAGCCATTAGATTGGGATTACATTGCTGTCTCCTGTTAAATTGGGATTTCAGCATATTGTATACTGTGGATTCCAAGCATACTGTAGATCAAACTCTAGTTTCTAGGTTATTACTAGTGTGATAGATTATCTGGTTTATAGTGGCTTGAGTTATGTATTTGAAATGTGGCTAACATCTATAGGATGAACAGATGCAACTCCAGCAATACACCTGCAAAACTACAACTTAGTATCTATGATAATGAATCGATTATAGTATGAGGTGAGGGCACTAGATGGGAGCAGGATAGCTGAGAGCTGTTCCAGCTCTGCCCCAACACACCTCTTTTGACCCATCTGGACTTGAGTTTCCTTATCTGTACAATGAGGGGGTTAGGCTATATTTTCTGGGGTCTCTTTTAGCTTTGAAAAGCTAAGACTCTACCCTCCAATGGAGATCAGCTGCCCTTTCTTGACTTTGGAAGATTGTGTAGACCATTAAAGGATCCTTCTTTCAGATCTCTTCTTATCTTTGGCTTCAGGATATAATTTTGTTTAATCTTAGAGCATGAGACACTTTGTAGTGAACTAGCTCTTGCCATGAAACAGGGAATACGTGGTTAATTTGGTGGAATGACATTAACTCATTTAGGTTGCTTTGTTCTTCGTTGTTTTATTTAATAATTAGCTCCTGAGACCTCTCGGAGCCTCTCCAGCCAGGCACTAACAGTCTCTCTCCAGGTTCTGGTTCCAAGATGAGAGAGTGATCTTCCCACTGTGAATAAGTTAATCCCTGTGGTCCAGTAGGGACATGACGGCTTGGGCAACCGTTTGCCTGTTGAATGCACATATATGGAAAATCATCCTTGGTGGAGAAAACTGGATTTTTCCAGCGCTGGGTTTTTCATCCACATCAGTGAGAAGTGAGGAGGGGCCCCTTAGCAAGATGCAACTATGCAATAATGCAACAAAAGTGGCTAACAGCACTTCCTTTATTACAGGGCTAAATGCTCATTGTTGTTTGCAAAGAGTGAATCCATAACCTCTGCAGAGTTATAGTTTATGCACAGTTGATTTTCATCTACAGAGGCAGAAAGTCCTTGCTTTCTCTGTCAAGCTTTGACTTACAAAACTCCCATTTTCTTTCAGTTTGGGGCATGTGTGTGTGTGTGTGTGTGTGTGTGTGTGTGTGTTTAAGAAAATGTTTAGCAACTAGATGGGAGAGAAGGGAAATAGAACTTGCAATGTGGAAGAAGGGAAACACATTTCAGAAATTCTAAACAAACAAACAAAACCTAAACAACTGAGGGGGTGTCATGGAAGGTCTTAACAGAAAAGACCTATGTCATATGCTTCTTTTCAGTGTGCTTTCTCCAGGAGCAGAAAGGACTAGAAAGACTGTATTTTTCCAACAGAAGGAGTGTGAATCCAGAGCTCCTTCTGCTGAAATTGGTGTCATTTGATGTTGCAAAGAGGCACTTTGCTTATGCAATTGAAATAAAAAGTAAAGTGCCTACCTGGGTGTTTTCAGGGTAATTGTAAGCAAATAAGACTAATTAGGAGGCTGTGTAGTCTCTAATTAAAAGCTAGGAAATAACTCACTCTGTGATACAAGAATCCAGGGATGTTTGGAAGAGGCATATAGAAAGAACACATAATGCTTTCCTGGGGCTTTTACTTCCCAAGACCGAAATTCCTGTTCTACAGAGCACATCGTTTTGGAAGCAGGGGATAAACAGACCCAGAGCTGGACACACACAGATCCATCCCCTAAATATACATTTGGGGAAATGTGTGTAGATAATAAGGAGAGGCATTATTTTTGTACCAGCTGTACTTGGAAAATGTCGTTTAAACAGAACTGGGAACATGCATGGGGCAAGCTGTGAAGCACTTCGGTTGAAGCAAGAGGAAAAATTGAGGCACTTTGCTTAACCTTTGGGGACTTTCAAACATTTACTTTTTCATGCCCTGTGGCCAGGTCTTTCTTTTAGATCAGGTTATTATTGGGCATGGGAGTATGTGTGAATTCAAGGGAGGGAAAGGGCCTGCCATGGGGAAGCGAGGGAGCAGGAAAGTTCACTTTGCTGAATAAAGACTACTTTAAAAGATTTTCATAAGTTCTGTATATTAGCGCCCAGTCAGTTTGATTGAAAAGCAGAGAAACTACTTTTTAAAACACAGTTCATTTGTAGCTTGCTGTGACAATATAAATATGGGGAAAAAATAAGGCTATGAATCAGCAAAAGCATTTCCAGGGTGAATCTTTGGCAAAAATGTGGACCCCCAACAATTCAGGTGGTGTTTTCTTTCAACCGGGTTCAAAAATCTTAGCTTTGTAAATTTCTAAAATTTTAACGTTTTCTTGTTTTCTTCTTACAGTCAGGCAGGCATTCAGAGGTACGTATTGGTTCTCATAGCTTTGGTAGAAATGTGCTGAAAATGGAAATGGATATAAAATACATGGTCTTTAGGCTAATTTGGTATGGCTTTGTAAGGCCTGAGTAAACTGGTAAATTAGTAAACTTCTTAGAACAATACAAATAAATGCAAGACACATAGGTAGAATAACAGCTTCGGAAGAAAGGGTTAGTATGGTACTCCCGTGTTCTATAGAAGACACCGAGTAAGGCCACCAATATAGGAACCGAGTTCCTCTTTTGGGTTTGTTTTTGTTGTTGTTGTTGTTTTGTTTTTGTTTTTTTGGTGATGATTTTCCATCGGCTTCACGTTCATGGAAGGGAGATGCAAAATGCAACACGGTCTTTGCATTTGTTTCCAACGTGGTCAGCAGCGGCCCTGGCTGACATCCGGGCTCCGCATTCTCATGGCGTGTGCAATGTGCATGCGTCTGGCTGGTCGAGAGGACGGGGCAGTTGGCTGACTAGTGTGCTGTGCTCGCGGGGCTTCCTGGCGTGCAAGGGCAAGCCTTCGTGCGAAGGGACTTCCTCTCTGGTCGTGCCCTCCTTCATGATCTGAGCTTGGTCTCACCCTTGGCTGTGGGTGGAGGCCAGTCCCCAGCAGCCTCAGAGAATTGAACAGCAGCTGTGACCCTCGCAGCAGCGTTTCTTCTTTTTCTTGGGGTGGAAAATGGTGAGGATTGCTTCATCGAAAACTGCCTTGAGACCTTTCTGAGTCAGGGCCGAGCATTCCAAGTAGCACTGCGCTCCGATCTGAAACACAAACAGGAGAGAGCAAGGCGTGAGGGGGAAAGAAGAGAGAAGAGCACAGCGGTTTCAGCCCCTCGCCCGGCCAAGTGCTACCGCTGCTGGGCCTGCAGACTGCCGGGGGTTGGTTTGGGTGTTTTTCCTTTTACATTTCCATTTGCATCGGTTCTCCTAACTTTCATATTTTTTTACTCTGATATTAGCAATAAACGGCCGTGGATTCCCTTTGGTAAGCAGTAAATTCTGAAAGTGACCCATAACCACTCATTCCTAATGTAAGAATATAGCAAATGTAAAAATTGAGAGAGGATTCAAAGCCAGTGATATGGTTTAAATATACTTTGTGAACAACAGGGCTACATGATGTTGTTTTTAGCACCCTTTCATATGCATGCAGAATGTGTAAATCTGGTACAAGTGAAATGTATCTCCTTCTGTATGTGAGAAGGCAAAGTGTCAACTTGGTTGGGAAAGCACATAGAAAGAGTGGGTGATGAGGTTTGATAGTCATGCTTCACTAACAGGCACTGCAGATGAGGTATCTCTTGGCAAGGTGATGTCCAATTGGTATTATTATCTGGTTTTAACATACTCAAACATTTTTTAAAATTTTATTTATTTTTGAGAGAGACAGACAGAACAAACCAGCGAGGGGGCAGACAGAGATGGAGACACAGAATTTGAAACAGGCTCTGGGCTCTGAGCTGTCTGCACAGAGCCTGACGCGTGGCTCAAACCCACGAACTGTGAGATCATGACCTGAGCCGAAGTTGGATGCTCAACCGACTGAGCCACCCAGGAGCCCCGGTTTTAACAGGTGTATTTTTAAGGAGCTGACAAACCCAAACATGTAAAAATAAAAATCATAAAATACATTTACTCACAAAGACACCCTCCTAGTTGGTATTCATTCTATGTGTATTTAAATGATTCAATATTTTGTTCTCGCTTAGGGCTTTATTTCAAAGCTTTTGATGATTTCATACTATGGTGTATTTGATAATCACAAAATCTCTTTGAGAAATATAGAAATTCAGTCCAGAACTATAGCTTCTCATTTAAAAAATAGCAAGCCAGAGGGATGCCTGGTTGGCTCAGTTGGTAAAGTGTCTGATGATCAGCTCCGGTTGTGATCTCACGGTTGTGGGATCAAGCCCCACATGGGGCTCCATGCTGAGCACAGAACCTGCTTGGGATTCTCTCTCTCCCTTTCCCTCTCTGCCCCTTTCTTGCCTGCTCTCTGTCTCTCAAAGTAAATAAATAAACTTAAAAAGAATAACTGAAGAATTAAAGCAGATGCAGAAGAGGATAGGTGGATGATGGTGAATGACAGCAGATACACGACTCAATCAGGGTGGCAAATTACATGCCCATTCCAGTAGCTTATGTTAATGAGGAGAGCAGGGCTGGGGCCAGACCGTAGGGGCGGGGGAGGAATGCAGTGGACTGTGAAGCACACCCCTGCCCCAAGAGTTGGCAGTCTTACTCGGCTTTAGACCATTGTCGCCATGGTTCACTGGTAACCATCTTTGTATTTTTCAAGATGACTTCAACTCTTGAAAAAAAAATTTTTTTAAATCTTTATTTATTTTTGAGAGAGAGAGAGAGACAGACAGAGTGAGAGCAGGGGAGGGGCCCAGAGGGAGGGAGACACAGAATCCAAAGCAGGCTCCAGGCTCTGAGCTGTCAGCACAGAGCCCAATGCAGGGCTCAAACTCACAAGAGCGAGTTTATGACCTGAGTTGAAGTTGGACGTTTAACTGACTGAGCCACCCAGGTGCTCCAAGATGAGTTGGACTTTTGGATTTTTTTAGTTAATAATTACCAATTTAAAAAATGCTCTGTGGGCCAACCAAGGCAGGAATGTGGGATTATTTTTGGCAGCGACCAGTCAGCTTACAACTTGCAGACTAAAGGAACTCGTGGTTTAGATTAGGATAGAGTGGGAACAGCCCCAGAAGGTCAAATGAACTGTTTAAGGGCACCCAGCCAGAAAGTGGAAGAACTAGACTAGAATCTGGGTCTCTTCGTGTGTGTTCTTTTCTTTGTTCTGTGATGATCATCCTTATCCCTCAACTCTGCAGGAAGTTGCTCAAGTCGACAATTAGCCCACATATACAAAACCCAAGCACGAAATAAAATTTTTCTGGCTGTGTCCAGATATAAGGCACTCCCCCACTCCCCATAAAGAATAGATACTGTATGAGCTAAAGGAAAATACCCAAAGAAAAGATGCTGGATATTAAAAACCTATTTTATGGCTTCATTTTAAGGCTTGCCCTTTGAATTAAAGAATGGCTTTTTTGAATCATTAAAATAAGTTGGATGCAAAAGAGGGATAAAAAGTAGAGAACGTTTTCTTAATAATGTCATGAAATTTCATCTGTTACATTTTGGATTGTGGCCAATGCTTGATATGAACATGTGAAATGCACATTACTCTAGGCTAGCTCTTCTGTGTCACCCTGAAAAAAATATGCAGAGAATGCTGTGAGGCCATTCCATCCAGAACACCTCTCCACTGAATCATGAGCCTCACTTGATTCTGGAAATCACAGGAGAGCTGGGCTCAGCTCATACATGGAGTTCTGGGCCCTCCGATCCTGCAAGATGGGCAGGGGCATTCCGACTCTCCTCCTCGGGGCCCCCCCCTCCCCAGCCCCCGTGTGCTGCTGACTGCATGGCGGGCTTTGCCTTTTGAAGGTGGAGGAGGGGCCCAAAACCCATCTGTCCCAATTCAGATATTTCTGAAGATAATGAAACAGTGGATCAAGGCATTATTGGGTAACTGTGTTAATACAAGCTGTTTTGGACTGATAGTTCTGGGAAAAGTAGCAAACAGGTTTTGGGTGTGATCTGGGAAAAATGTGTGAGAAACAGAACTCAGTTAAGAGGTAGGTGTTTTGTGGGGGGCCTGGGCAGCTTGGTCGGTTGAGTGTCTGACTCTTGGTTTTGGTTCAGGTCATGATCTCGCAGTTTCGTGGGTTTGAGCCCCATGGCAGGCTCTGTGCTGGCAGCATGGAGTTTGCCTGAGATTCTCTCTCCTCTCTCTCTGCTCCTCCCCGGCTCATGGTGTCTGTCTCTCTCAAATAAATGAATAAACGTAAAAAAAAAAAAAAAGAGGTGAGTATTTTGTTAACCGTGTGTCAGTGCTCTGAGAGTGAGAAAGAAGAATTCATGGAAGGCAGCGTAGCTGTGTTATAGAAATTTCTAAAAAGAAACCAATTCATTTATGATCTCAACAATGTGAAATGGAAAACATGACTTTTCTTACAGTCTCATTTACCCCTTGGAGCAAAGTGACCCGCACAGCCAGATATTTAGAACAATCCGTAAGAGCTCAGGATCTGTGGATCCTTGTTTACACACACATGTTATCTGTGACGTGCTTTGCCAGGATGATTTATTTTCCAGAAAAAAATAGAGATTGAAGAATGTAAACTGAGAGAACACTCTTCTAATAGCTTTATAATAGCTCAAATTTATCATCTCAAAGCTGGGAAATGTATCAGACATGTACAGAACATTCAAGAGTCTGACAAGAAGAAATTAAACAAAAAGAAAAAAACAAACAGAAGAACCTACAGTGGCCAATCAAGTGGAAGAAAACCTACTGATCTTACAGGTTGTCTTCGTGGAGGTGAGACACGTTATAGAGTGAGATAGAGCGTAACCTGAAAGAGGAAAGGCAATGAAGTCTTCCCGGCCATGGATGCACCTGAGAGGCACATGAATTTAGCAACAATTATAGTTTGCTGAGCTGGACCTCAGGTCTCATTGGGTCACTTAATCATCATAAGAACTTTGCAAGGTAGGTCTGTCACCTCATTTGCAGCTCAGAAAACTGACGCTAGAGACACGAAGTCACTTCCATAAGGTCACACAACAAAAGAAATGTCAGAGGTTTGAATTTGTCTGTCCCCTGAGCTACAGTCTTAACACTCTGTGGGGCTGACGCTAGCAAATAAAAACAAATGTGCCCGAAAGAGTAAAACTAATGAACAAACGGAGATGTTGTTTTGGACGCAGTGAGGGTCATAAGGGAGGAAAGGAAGAACAAGTAAGCCATTTCCTCTAAATGGAGAGGGTAGAAAATAGTTGTGGAATAGACACAGTAAACTGGTATCTAAAGACCCAGCTAATAACAAAGAAGTCCTTTATTTCTTACTTAAGAATTAGGACAGGTACAGGCGACATCAAAGCCAAAAAAAGGAAAAAAAGAACCTAATGACTTGGGAGAGAAATTCTATCATAACAAATTGCTAAAAGAGGAAAATGTTTCTAGACTGGATGGATTTGCAGCTGATTTTTTTTTTTTTTTTTTTGAGACCATAAGGCAGAGATCGCCAGCTCAAGGGTGGGTAGATAATGTAGTGCACTACCTCAGTGAAGGTTAGTATGGAGGGGTGGGGACTGTGAAAAACTGAAGGGTATCTTCCTTGTCTGAAAGACTGTTTAAAGGTTGCTGTTGATGAGGAAATGCTGGCCTCGTGTTGCCAGACCTTCTAGTGTATGTATTGTTTTGTGTTTGTTTTTGTTTTAGAAGCCAGAACTGAGTATCTTTCTGTGAAGCTTCCATTGTTCAGTGTTGGCCACTAAATCACATTAAAAACACACATGTGGGGTGATCAAAGCATTTGTGGGTGAAATTTGATTCATCACTTGCCAATGTACTCCCTATGCTTTTTTTTAAAGTTTATTTATTTATATTGAGAGAGAGAAGGAGAGAGTGAGTGAGCACAGGAGGGGCAGAGAGAGAGGGAGAGAGAATCCCAAACAGGCTCCGTGCTGTCAGTGCAGAGCCTGATGCGGGGCTCGATCCCATGAACAGTGAGATCGTGACCCGAACTAAAATCAAGAGTTGGAAGCTTAACCGACTGAGCCACCCAGGTGCCCTTATGCTTTAAGGGATGCCTTTGCACGTACTCATTTCTCTATTTGGAATTTTATCCTCCCTAGTCCCTAAGTTTGTCCACTTGATAACCTTGTCTTTATCCTTCAGACTTGGCTCAGATAGCGATTGCTCCAAGAAATTGTCTCTGAATCTTCCTTCCCCGAATGTGTTCATCACTCCCCGCTCTCTGCTACCTCAGGACTAAGTATTCATTCAGGTGGCCTGCCAGCCACCCTCTTCTTCTGGCCTATGGGCCTCTTGAGGGAAGGAGCTGTCTCTCCTTCATTTCTGCAACCCAGACCCTAGTGATGGAGTGACCAATTTTCAAAGACCACGAGAGATAGAAGAAATGGCCAGCATGCAAAACAAGGAGCGTTAAAAGTGACTTTTGCAGTCTGTAGGCAGGTATTAAAGACTCCAGTTGATTAAGGTAACTGAACATGGATTCCAGGATTTCTGCAGCAATGTTGCCGCTTTAAACCCACTGGTGCATGCTTGTTACATGCATGTTACAAAGCCAGCGGGACACAGGTACCAAGACAAAGAGTGAGAATAACAATAAGGAAGGTGTAGGGTGAAGAAGATACCAGGAAAGGGCAAAAAAGAGGCCAAAGGCTGAAAGAGAGGAAATGGCAAAGTGTTTTGTCAAGAAATACCTTAGGAGGTCTGAACTTAGAAAATCATGGTTAGGTTGAATCAAATGGAGCTGGGAAGGAGAACATCCAATGAATTATAATCTTAGAATTCAAGTGCAGCCCGGTGGCCGGCACATGAGAGGTGTTCAGTGAGTTACTGACAAGTGGACCCAGTAGTAGTATGGACCTGAACCAGTGAGGAAGCTGGCTAGAGATGAACAAATGCAATAATGACAAGGAGACGGAGGATAAAACAAGTAGACGGATAACGACGAATATTTATTACCAGAGGATGCAAAAATATTTATGGAAATGTCATTGACTTTTGACAACTGTAAAGAATTGTAAATACGTATGATATGAAAATAGCCTTTAAAACTAAAATGCCCTTTGAGACCAAAAAGAGATGATAGAAGAAAAATGCTCTGAAAGTTGAAAAGTACCACCAAAAGGAATTGAATATGAAAGACCGGAACTTGCAGAGCACTTGAACTGTGGGGAGAATATGAATATTAAAATACGGGGCTTCAGTGTATAAAAAAGAAGCCCCAAGACTGAGGCTACTTTACTTTACTTTACAGGCTATAAAAAGGAAGCAGAAGAACACGGTGGTTAAAGCAGTTTGATATCCCAGCTCTGCCGCTTTCTAGCGGTGTGACCTCAGCCTCGCTGAGCCTCAGTTTCCTCTAGGAAAGTGGAAATAATAATAGACACACCTCGGGGGGTTGCTGTGAGGATTAATTAAGACAAGGCATGTGAAGCGCTTGGCAGAAAGCCTAGCGCACTGCAAACACTCCGTAAATGCTAGCTGTTATTATAAACTACTTGACAGGAAAGTCAGGGAGCAGAGAGACTTAAAGCATCTCTATAATTACATGAATTGTGATGAAACAAGTTAAACTCTTGCTTGGATTTCTTCTAAATTGAATTTCATAAGCTAAACACGATTCTCTCCGTATCTGAGAGCAGTTGCTAGGAGAAACTGGCAAAAGGCAATAAAGTGGTGAACTCATCCATTGTTCCTAAAATAAGTACAAGATGAGATGGGAGGCTTTGGAGTGACTTCTTTTCAGAGGGAAAAACAATTTCCTAAATGAGAAGTCAGGCTAGGACACTGACAACATGATGGGGTAGACAGGACGGAAGCGGGGACATGGAAACCGAGCTCCTAGAGAAAGCTGGTGCCGAGCCTCTGGGACCTCCTTGTGAAAAACGGACAGCTGGGAATCACATAGATTGTTTTTGGAGTTTGGTGTTTATGTACCTTTAGCGAGAGAAGTTAAGCTGAATGTTTGAGGAAGAGGTAGAAGAACCTCTAGACATGTACCCATTTTACAGAAGGCATAATAAATGGTTGGAGGAGACAGGTTACATCATGGTCAGATGCACAGCAGTGACATCCACAGATCTGGATTAGAGATGCTTGTGTTATTATCAGCTGTGTGAATCCAACATATTCATCTCCTAAGACTCTGTTTCCTCACCTGTAAGAAGAGACCAGCACTATCTGCATAAGGGGGTTACCATGAGGCAGAAATGAGGCAGAGCCTGTAAAGTGCTTTAGTATCCCAAGACCTCGATGACTGGCTCATACTAGTCATTCTGACAAGATATTCACAGAAGTAGGAAGTGATGTCTCAAGTACTTGTGAGGTATCCTCATGCACTGTGTCCATAAAAACATAATTCTACTTAGTTCATTTCTATTTGAGTGTATCCCTTAGTTTTGGTGCCTATAAGAAAATTTTAAGAAGAGAGATACACACATTTTTATTTATGGAGAATTTGTACATGATATTTTTCTCGATCAGTTTAAAAGGGTGACTCCTATTCTGCCCAGGGCATACATTTTGCAGGGTTACTAACTTTAGAAAGTTAAAGAGGGGGGCACCTGGGTGGCTCAGTCGGTTAAGCGTCTGACTTCGGCTCAGGTCATGATCTCATGGTTCATGGGTTCGAGACCCAATCGGGTTCTGTGCTGACAGCTCAGAGCCTGGAGCCTGTTTCAGATTCTGTGTGTCTCTCTCTCTGCCTTTCCTCTGCTTATGTTCTGTCTCAAAAATAAATAAACTATTTAAAAAAAAAAGAAAGTAAAAAAGGGGCGCCTGGGTGGCTCAGCCGTTTAAGAGTCCGACACCGGCTCACAGTTTGTGAGCTTGAGCCCTATACCAGGCTCTGCACTGACAGTGTGGTGCCTGCTTTGGATTCTCACTCTCCCCGCCTCTCTACCACTCCCCTGCTTGCACTTTCGCTCTCTCTCAAAAACAAATCAAACAAATAAACAAGCAAACAAAAAATAATACTGACTTAAAAAAGAAAAACAAAGTAAAAGCAATTTCTGAAACTTCTCGCCTGGGTCTACGGGCTTGTGACTGTATCAATGAGGAGGTGACTCAGGTTATGGAAATACGATTTAAAAGCCTCCTCTTGTGTCCATTTTAGTGTCTGATTTCGCACACATCCTGGTGGGCATGGGGAGACAATGATTTGGTCTAAAGAATTTCCCCATCAAAATCACCATTCATGTTAAGCTCTCAAGAACGGAGAAAGGTCTGTGAAGACAGTTCCAGCTCTGAGGTGGTTGCTATTATCTGCAGCCACTTGGATTCTCCAACTAGTTATCTTCTGGTCCACGTTACTCCTCTAGATGCTGTTTGTGAGATAATCCAGCTGCTGTAAGTGGCTATTCATTATGTGGTGAGAAATATTGAACAAATATAACCCTGCCAGATGCTAATCTAAGTTTTCTCCAAGAAAATCACTAAATACCTTTAATGGGGTCATTTAAATGAATTACATTGATAATAAGCAGTGAGATGAGTCCTTTTATTCATACTAAATACAGCAACTGGATATTCTAAATGTTGCTAAGTCAGATGATAAGGGCTTCAGCTGTTTAAATTCACCAAGTTTTTTTCTAAAAGAACAGACAATGGTGGCTGGGAAGACACTAACCAAATGGTCCCTTCCAGCGTCACTAGAACAAAGGGGGAGTATGAAGCAGACAGAGGATCCGTGAACACACTGCACTTTAAAGCAAAAGTCTATGTAGCTCACTCCTTCCAAATCATACACCAAATTCTTCTGTCAGCATACATTTCAAATTAAATTCAAATCTGACTGTACCGCTTTTGCAAGCTTCACCCCATGCTCATAAGTGAGAGGTTTCTCTTTCATATACAGCAACCGGGCCAAGGTTTTGGGGTCATCGCGGAGATCAATCTGGCAAAAAAAAAAGTGTAATAAATTTCCTTAGTTTTTCAGGTCTTAGTGGATATTTTAAACCGTGAATTGGTAGAGATTCTCCCCGCCACCACTTTATATCTACGAAGTTGCCGACTGACTTTTCTTTAAGGAGGTACATACATACACATGCCCATATTACATCTAAAAAAGTAAAGTGATTTCTGTGCAAATGTCAGCATCAGGTTTTCCATGTGCTTTATTCTTCAAAAGCAATTCCCCGGGGGGCTGAACTCACTCCAATAATTCTGTGGTTGTTTCAGGCGTTTTTGAAATTTCCTACTTATTTTTAGATCCCACTTATAGGATATACACGATGATGGATCAGTCTTATTACCTTACAGTGATGCCTCATTTGGTCCCAAATTACATTACTCATTTCTTAATAGTCTATTTCCTAGCTGTGAATACATCTTTGTCTTCACCCTCACGGGGATAAAGATTTGCCTCCTGTGAGGATATTCTAAGGAGTGTTGATACAGACTCCCTAAAGAGGAATTTCTGAAGGGTCTGCTCAAGGAATAAGCATTAATCTTTTCAAAGGTAGAACTACTTTGAAATAGCATGTATGTTTGGATTAGTTTTGATAATTTAACCAAATATTTTAGTTGCATTACAATCTCCCTCTGTCGGGGTGTCTGGTGGCTCAGTTGGCTAAGCATCCAACTTTGGCTCAGGTCATGATCTCACAGTTCTGAGTTCGAGCCCCACATAGGGCTCTGCAGTGACAGTGCTTGGGATTCTCTCTCTGCTCCTCCCCCACTCCCGCCCCTCCCTCTTTCTCAAAATAAATGAATAAACTTCAAGAAAATTCTCAATGTGTATGTGAACTATGCACATGTGAATGGGTGTAAATGTGGGCTCATAAAGGCTTGACTTTTAAAGAAAAACCAAAATATTTATACATTAGAGTTCCATTTATAAGCACATTGCTCTGCTTTATCAATTTGTGGGTTTTTTCTTTTGATCTATTTATTTATTAAAAAATTATTTTTAAATTTACTTTGAGAGAGAGTACATGCTCGTGGCGGAGGGGCAGAGAGGAAGAGAGAGAGAGAGAGAATCCTCATCAGGCTCTGTCACCCCTTCAGGCTCTGTCCTGACAGATCCTGATGTGGGGCTCGCTCTTATGACTTTGAGACCATGATCTGAGCCAAAACCAAGAGTTAGATGCTTAACTGACTGAGCCACCCTTGAGCCCTCTTTTTTGGTCTTGATCGTTCAATATAGTGCCACCAATGATAAAATAGGCTCAAATCGCACAAAGAAGTTTATTTCCTGAACATATTTTGGAAACAGGGATCCGGGCTCTGTCAATATGGTAAAAAATTATCATCTGGGATTAAAGTGAAAGATTGCATTTAAACAATTCTCTTTCAGAGTAGAAGCATTAAGTATACTCTGATTTTTGGACTTGTTAATTATCTGTCCGTATCTTCCTTCTCTAGGAAATACTTTTACTATTTTAAAAAATTTTTCTTTTCAATCAGAATAGAAAATGAGAAATAGAAAGCAGGGGCATAGGAAATAGATAACAATAAAACCCTTCCCTATCATTACATTTCTGTGTCTTTGGATACTAATTTAGCAAAGAATGAAATCGTTTCGAAACTATAAAAAGGAGGAACAATCTTAAACGCATTTGTGCAATGGGGTTTACTGTTGGAAATTCAAATTATAGAATTTTATTTGTTTTCAAAACACTTTAAGGCCCTTTAAAATCACAGGTTTGTGTATCTGGTACATCTGTTTTTAACTTCTTTCCTAAGATCTGAAAGACCAAGAGGTTTAAGGGGAACAGAGAAGAGTAAATTCCTGTCTTCTTTCTCTTGTGGTGTTAAGGAATTCCTGTCCTCATGTGTCCATTTGGACTGGTGGGTTCATTTGGACATTCACACCTATTTTGTGACTTTCAAACAATTGTAGATTTCAGATATAAAAAAATATCAGATAATAAGTGTGATTGACATCCCCACCTCATTCCTCTGGCTCAGGGCTGGAGATGGGTGTCTACTTCAAAAAGTACTTTGTTACTTAAAAATAAAAAGCAGAGAGATTAATTTCTAAAGATCACATCAAAACCTTCTCTTCATATAAATAGCTCTGTTGCTTTTTCAGCCATGGGCTAAACAATCATGCAGATCTGAGGAATGGCTGTTTGTAGGGTTGATATATCAGACACGCTCCTCCCTAGTGCTGGTGAAATAGGCTGTTCAAGAGAAGCCTGGTCTTTCCTTTTTTGCTGCCCTCCTGCCCTGCCCACCGCACCTTGCTGGCTCCCGTGTCTAACCTGGGTCCCTATGAGGACGTAAGGCACGTGAGGCATGCAGTCCTTCAGCTCGGGGACCCATTCCTCCTGGACGTTGTGGTAAGAGGCAGGATTTACGACAGAGAAGCAGATCAAAAACACATCTGTGTTGGGGTAGGAGAGTGGCCGCAGCTGGTTGTAGTCCTCCTGCAGGAAGAGCAAAGAGTTTGTTCAGACCGGGGAGGGCGGACCCCCCTGAGTGTTCTGCACCACGCTCCACTGCAGCTCCCCTGACCTGCTCATGCTCCCACCCTGGGATCTGGTGGTTCCCTGCAGGAAGTGTTAGAAATAAAGGAGCCATCAGTCAGAAGCACACCTTTTTGTTGTGTATAGAGGTTGTAAAACAGCCCCCCCCAAATTAAAATTTACTGATTTATTTTGAGAGAGCGAGAATGCGCACACACACCAGTAGGGGAGCGGCCAAAGGAGGGAGAGAGAGAATCCCAAGCAGGCTCCGTGCTGTCAGTGCAGAGACTGACATAGGGCTCGAACTCACAAACCGTGAGATCATGACCTGAGCTAAATCAAGAGTTAGATGCTTAACTGACTGAGCCCCCCAGGTGCTCCATAAGTATCTCCATTTTAGGGAAAACTTAAGAAGCTATTTTTTTTAAGGAGCTTTAGTGAGATATCTTATATACTATAAATTCACCCCTATAATGTGTATAATTCAATAAGGATTATCACAGTTCCCTGTTGCAGTGTGTTGTATTGAATGGAGTTGTGTTGTATGGAAAGTGGATTTAAATTAGTGCGCAATTGGCCAAGGCACAGCAGTTCTCTTCTTACATAATTTTTAAAAATTGCATGCAAATTTAATTTAGAACAAGCTAGCTGTAAATGTAAAGCAAAGAGTTGTCAAATTGGACGGCACAATTTTGTAGAAATGTATTGTGTGAGGGTCTAGAGTTCAGAATTTGGAATTTCCTTTTGAGTCTACCTAGAGGCCATAGCATGGCCTAAATAACAAAATACCATATTAATTATTTTTTTCCCCACGTTTCAGACCAGAACATGCTCTGGTTGGAGAGTTCTTGCTTATATAAGTTGTTTATGTACACGCTGTCTTAGTGGAAGAAGATGAAGACAAAAGTAAAACATTGGAACATCTCACCTTTGGGAAAATGTCAGCATGTATCTTTTACTGTATGTGAAATGTTTTAGAAGGTTCCAAGGTAAATCTGCTATTTCGATATAACATTTATATTTTCATAGAATTTAGTAACACATAAGCTAAAAGTAATTTTATGTGTGTGTATACTTATACTATGTAAGTATACACTAGGTACACATACATGTCAGCACACACCACAATATGACATACTGGTCATACGCACCTTGCATACTTCATATATATATATGCACACTATGTACATGCACATGCTATACATACACAGGGCAGCCAAACCTGTGTGTTCACTTATCACATACACATAAGGCATATGCCACATAGCAATTCATTTATTAGGGTCCTGACTACTCTTCCTAATGTTAAAAATATTAAACTCATAAATGCTCACTGCAAAAATTCAAACATTACCTAGAGTAATACAGAGAATAGAAGTGAAAGCTTGTTTTTGCCCTCTAGGTGATCTCTAACAATCTTTCCTCTATTCCTAGAGGAAGCCATGGTTTAACCATATCCTTTTGAATATTTTATATTTATTTAAATATATAACAGACATGTTTAGTTTAAAAAAGATAAATTGATTACATAGTTCATATTATTGTGCCCCTTGATTATATATATATATATATGTATGTATAATGTTTATTTATTTTAGAGGAGGGGAGAGGCAGAGAGAGAGGGAGACACAGAATCTTAAGCAGGCTCCAGGCTCTGAGCTGTCAGCACAGAGCCCGATGTGAACTCATGAACCTTGAGATCATAACCTGAATTGAAGTTGGACGCCTAACCGACTGAGCCACCCAGGTGCGCCTAAGCAAAGGTTTTTAGTTACCTAAACAGAATGCAGCATAAGATGGCAACCATGCTGAAAAATCCTAAAGTCCTAAAAAATAAACTAAAAGAATATAAAAAATCACTGACAGTGGCTCATTTATCACATTTCTATTAAAGCAAATAAGTAGGAGTTGAATGCATTGCTGAATAAACACTGGTCACAGTGGGCAGTTGGGCCAGGCCTCCTGGCTGCATATTGGCTGAATTGTGCCAGGGTGTGTGTGTGTGCGTGTGTGTGTGTGTGTGCCCACGAGCACGCGTGCATGTATGTGGTCGTGGTGGGGGGTGATAGGGAGTGGGGGAGTGGACAGCTCCTTTCTTGTTACTAACCCCTCCTCTTTACACAGTGAGCCCTGTAACCAAAATTTCTTGCCCACGGTCTCGGCACTGCTCTCCTTTCTCTCTGGGGCTTTCTGTTAGGGGGTAGCCGTGAGGCTGACAAGTTGAGAACCAGGTCATAATCTACAACTGTTCATGGGACCACCTGCCCTCTGCTGCCTCATCGTCCCATGTGGATTGCGATAAATGGAACAGGGGGCATCTTGTTTTTATTTTCTTATGCCCTGCTTCTACTCTGTCCACAGTGAACATTCCACAGACGCCGTTGACTGACTGGATGACACCAGGTCTGCCCTGAACTGCAAATGAACACGTGGCTTTTTGGTGGGTGATTTACTGCAGGGTTTTCATTAGAATCACCTGGGGAGTATTAAGAACCTCTTGACACCCTGCTGCCTCTCTCCCTACACTCTGGGACCAATTAAATCACGATTTCTGGAGAGTGGGCCTGGGTAGCTGGGCATTCTGATATAAATGGTTGGAATTGACCTGGAGTTGAGAACAACTGATTAACATTATCCATATCTTCATCACCGAGGATGCATCAAGGGCTTATTAAGAAGGGCCATGCATTGTTTCAAGTGCTTACATGCATTACCTCTTGAATCCTCAGAGTAGCGGCGGAGAGATGGTAGCATCAACATTCATATTTCATAGAAGAGGAACTTAAGTTCAGAGAAGTTCAGTACTGAACTAACGTCTCAGAGCTATTAAATACTGGGATGGGCTATTTAGCCGGAGTCCAACTCCAGCTCTTGTGACATTATTTGTTTCCACTCAGAATTTTAAGCAGCAGACTAAGCTTTTTTTTTTTTTTTTTTTTTTTTTAGAAAATCTAATTATCTGGGTATAGACTCATGCTTTACCCAGTAATCTAAGAAATGTTGGACCTTTTTGGATGTAGGATCTATTTCATGGCCTGAACTTACTAGAAATTACCAGCAGATGGCAGCAGACACTGTATATTTAAAACCTCAACAGCAACCAAGAAAATTGCACGTTCTGAAGCGCCACTACTGGATCTCAGGTAGGAACAAATAACTGGTGGTCTGAAAGGATTGTGTTTATCTGATTCTTTACCCAGAAGCCATCAAAGGAATTCTGCTTACATTCTGAAAAAGTTAGGAAGAGCCTGGTTTGCCGGAGGGACTACGGGTGGGAATGGGAGAGGAGTTTGTGTTTTTGATCATTTACCCTCCTGGCAGGGTAGCCAAGGCCCTCCAGCTGAGTGACTTCCGACCTTAGCCTTCGGTGGGCTTCATCTTGCTCTGTGTTCTGGATATCTCTCCCGTGGAAAGCTCAGTCCAACTCTGTAACGCTGGGGCTCCAGGGCGGCTTAGTCCTTTGAGCATGGACTTTGGCTCAGGGCATGACCTCACCGTTTATGAGTCTGAGCCCCACATCAGGCTCTGTGCTGACAGCCCAGAACCAGGGACCTGCTTCAGATTCTGTGTCTACTCAATTTATTTGGAAGTGAGACAGGTGACGTTTCTCTTGCTCTTGGTTAGCTCTGTGATAATAGAATACCGTAGAGTAGTTATTTGACTGAACTGGAGCAACACAAATGAGGGCTGGAAGAGGTTTTAGAGATCAGTTAGTGCAGTGGCTCCCAAGGTGTGGTCCCTGGGAGCTTGTTAGGAACACACGTTCTCAGCCCCTACCCAGCCCTCCTGAAGCCAAGGCCCTGCGGAGCATCTGCACCATATGTCAAGGTGATGCTCTTGCAGCTCAAGTTTCAAAACTGCAGCTATTGTGCTTTCTTTTCCCCTCAGCCGATTTTATGGTTTAAGAAGAGAAACTCTAGACAGATTGAGTGATTTAATCAGGACTACAGAGCAAACACACCTTTGAAGGAGGTTCACACCTGGGCTGGCAGACTCCTGTTGGCCCCCATTTGCCACAGGTGTGGCAATGAAATGGCGCCGAGGGCTTCAGCATTAATAAAGGGAAGTGTCCTCTTGAGATTGAGAGCTGGGTGGTGGGAGGCTGGGGGATTTGACTTTGTACCAGCTGATAATGCAACAGGGTGCATTCTGAGCCTAGGTTGGATGACCACATGTTGGGATGATGTGAAGGGGCTCTGGGAAATGGATCGATGATCTAGCTGGTGGACCGTGCCCTCCATTCTCACATTGAAGCTGAGAATGGAAGACCAGCACTTGCATGTTTCTTGAGGAAACAAGGTGTTACTCTAAAACTGTGGCTTGAGCGGGGCTTTGGAGGGCTGAAATGGACAAGGAGGCTGGCTGGCTGGGGCTCTCAGGGGATAGGGAAGGATTCGGGGCAAGGTGGGCTCTTGAGTACTTTCCACCAACTTTACCCCAAAGGCGGGAGACTGGTTAGAAGGCAGATCTGGTGCTCTTGGATGACTACGGGCAACTATGAAGAAAGAACAGTTCAGGGACAGCCTCATCAGATGGCCAAACACCTTCCACATATGTTTGATGAGTCACGGCATGATGGCCCAGGTGGGAAGTAAAGTGAATCTTTCAACCAGTCTTTCTCAGACTTTAGGCCCACTTGAGTCATGTTAATGTGCAGCTTCTCATTCAGCAGCAGGTCTGGGGCAAAGCCCTAGAAGTTATTTCTGACAAGTTTCCAGGTGACTCTGACACCGCTGGTCCAGGGACCACATGTTGACTGACAGGAGAGTTGCATTGAAACTCCTCCCACCTCAACCCAGCCCACACCCATATTAAACTGGAAATAGAATTCAGCTTCCAAGTCCTCTAGGGCTTAGTGACATTCATCCCAGATTTTAGCACATGACTCATTTTCAGATTCTCCCATAAGTACACTCTTATCTGTCAGGCTTGCTTTGGGAAATGTGGGTAACACCCAGAGG